CTGGAGGTCGATTCGAAAAGTTCGCCGGCCCTCCGTATTGTTGTTCTCCACTTCGGAAATTTCGATAACGATATTGAGTAGGGCCTCTGTACCTTTGGTCACCTTGAAAATTCCTATCACCAATCGTCAGCTGTGGGTAAAAATGTCTAGGAGGGTTAGTTTGGGGGATCCTGTTTGGTCTAGATCCTTTCTCGGTAGCGTGTTGAATACGCACACCTAGATTACCTAATTTTAAACAGGCATTTAGAGCCTGAGGCAAACTTGTCGGGTTTGTAACACTCATTAAGCTTGGAAGATTACCATTAAGTCCTCGAATAAAGGTGTCCAAAGCCTTGTCCCTATATGTTTGGGTCAATACATCCAAAGCCTCGTTCCCTATATCCAGACAATCAATCTTGTCCAGAATCAAAGACAAATGGTGGTAAACCTTCTGGTAAAAATCTGTTATGGTTTGCCCACCCTGAGATAGGACGGTCATTTGATACTCTAAGGTCGAAATATCTCTCTTATCTGAAAAATGAAGCACTAAACACTTTCTTATCGCTTTCCAATTTAATGGGGTCCGATAAGACTCCAAAGCCGTGTCGGCCTCACCAACAATTTTATGCCTAACAGTGTGTAGAATTGTGAAGTATTTGGTTGTTCCCCTTTGTGACTCATAAATGTTCATGATCCTATCAACAGCTTTCCTCCACGAACTAAATTCTCCTGGCTTGCCCGAGAATTCCCTTAACGTCTTCACTATGTCTGGTATTCTCTCTCCTTCTGAGATATCCCCAGATCCTTCTATGTCGACATCTTTAGTGGCGGTAACATCCTCCCCCTGTTTGAGAAGGTTTGCCACCGTCTCACTTATTATTCGTTTCACCTCATTAGTCTGACTTTCCGTAAAGGGATTAAACCTTACGGGAGCTGCCCCAGAAGGCGAAGATGTCTGTCCTGAAACACTCATAGCTTCGACCCTTGTTATTAAGTTGTCTAAATCTTCCGGCATTGGCCGCTCGAAAAAAAGGAGAAAAAGAAACACCAAATCCTAGTTCTCGTCACAAATCTATTATCAAAATTTCTTTAAACTTATTTCAGCACGGATATGACTCTTTAAATTTGGATGCCACACTCTATTTTTTTGTTTAACTTAATCTAACATTTCATATTTCTTACATTTGTTAATTTCGCACAAATATGATTTTTTTGTAAATTAGATTTCACACTTTCACTTTCTGTGTTATTCCTTATTTTGTTTAATTTTATTTTAACATTTCTTCTTTTTTACTTTTGTTAAATTTATAATAACTTACTAATAATAATTTGATCATTTTCCTTATATCCCGGTAGTCCGCTAGTTCTTACGTAACATCCTTTTCGTACTCCTACTCAGGAACGGTTCTCGTACCGGCTGTTGGGATGTTTTAATCCTTGTGGTTGTTGGGTTCTAGGATGTGTTGATCCTTGTAGTTGTTGGGCGCCAGTTGATGTTAGAAGTTAAAGTTTATTTCACACTGCTATGGTGTTTCTTTATTTTGTTACTAACATTTATGTTGCGGTGCTATGCACCTCTCTTGTTGGATTTACAATTATGAATTACTTCAACTTAAAACTAATATTATACTGCAGCCTGGTCGTGCTCGTTATTACGCTGAGTCATCACTTGCGGTGCGCTGGTATTAGTGCGCGTGTTTGTGGCGGATGACTGCCCTGGTGTCATATTCCTGTTGATTTGTCGGACTGCTTGCGCAGCATAATGATGGGAATGTTTACTAGTTGGTTTGCATATTTAGTTTGATGTTTATTAGGGTGAGCCGTTAACTTATATTTTATAACCATCCTTGGGTGCCGTATGCTGAGTGCGATGGTGCTGATTCCTGTTGGATATCCAAGGTCTGCAGCCAAAATGTTTGCGTGCCCAAGGCTTTAATACACACTCCAGAATATATTTTGCGATAATATACGGCATTAATTCTGATGCCACGGTCAATTAATACGAGCGGAGAGCGACCATCGGCTGTTATGGCGGTCCACACCATGGCTGGCGCTTGAGTTCTGGTGGCCAACCAAAGGTGCACATTTTCAGCTGACCTCTTTGGCAAGTAAACATGATCATTTTATTCTTGTTGTTTACAAGCTGCTGGACCACGAATGTTTTCTCATCGGATAACGCCAAATTCGGCAGTTCACCACTTTCGGCCAAGCGAAGCAACTCTTTAGCTCTTCTGAGTCTATTTTCTTTTTGTTGCGGTGTAAGATCAAGCTCATTTTTATACCCTCCACCATACTATGGAGGGTATATTAATTTTGTCATTCCGTTTGTAACTCCTCGAAATACTCATGTCAGGTCCAACATAGTATATATATATTCTTGATCAGCATAAAATTCTAAGACGATTTAGTCATGTCCGCCTGTCTGTCTGTTTGTCTGTCTGTCTGTCTGTTGTAATCACGCTATCTTTCGAACAAATAGAGATAGAAGGCTAAATTTTTGCAGACATGTATATTTTGCCAGTAGGTTAAGTTCGTAAATGAGCCATGTAGGTCCACGTCTTCATATAGCCCCCACATAATGGTACCCCCCGATATTCGGTATTTTGATGATTTTAGAGACATTATTCACCGGAATTTTTTCAAAGTTGGTATTTGAAGTTCGTAATGGATACTACATCCTAAGTCAAAAAATGAGCCACGTAGGTCTTTGTATAGCCCCCATATACCGTACCCCACCCGATATTCGGTATTTTGATGATTTTAGCGACATTTTTCACCAGAATTTTTTCAAATTTGGTATTTGAAATTCGTAATGAATGCTACATCCTTAGTCAAAAAATGAGCCATGTAGTTCCACGTCTTCATATAGCCCCCATATACCGTACAACCGATATTCGGTATTTTGATGATTTTAGAGACATTATTTAACAGAATCGTTCCAAATTTGGTATTTGAAGTTCATAATAGATGCTGCAGCACAAAACAGAAAATGGGCCATTTAGGTCCACGTCTTCGTATAGCCCCCATATACCGTACCACCCGATATTCGGTATTTTGATGATTTTAGCCACATTATTTACCGGAATGGTTTCAAATTTCTCATGTGAAGTTCGTAATGGATACTTTAGCTCATGCCAGAAAATTGTCTGTGCAGGTCCAAGTTTTCGTATAGCCTCCATATGACGGTACCCCCCGATATTCGGTATTTTGATTATTTTAGCTACACTATAAACAGATTTTTCTTCAAGTTTCGCATTTAAATATTGTGATAACTTATGACAAAAGTTGCCTATGCTGGTCCACGTCGTCGTATAGGCATTCGGTATTTTTAATATTTTAACAGAATTTCGAACGGATTTTATTTTTTTTTTTTTTTGGAAATTGCCAAATTTGTACCAAATGGTGCAGGGTATTTAAAGTTCGGCCCTGCCGAACTTATAGCTTTTTTACTTGTTCAATATTGCGATATGTTCAGCCATTTTTTGGCCACTGCGACGCGGTTTTATATCAAGTCGCATTTTTACTTTTCGAACCATTTCTGCTGATGTTGCTGTTTTCTTTCGTCCACTCATGGAAACGAGCGATGGTACGAGACACAAAATAGCTAATCACATTTAAATGGTGTGGAATAACCCAAATTCTCATAAAATGCGAAATATGCATCCGATTCATATAGAGCTGTACACAATCCGATATTTCCACTAACACACGACACCTGATCGGAAGGTGGAATATAGAGGACCACTCCCAATATTTTTTGGAAATCCAAATTCAGAATTTTGGAAGAAACTTGCAAAAAATATACTAATAACCCAATTTTCTTGGTATATGGGGCCTAGTTATTTTTTTAACATATCCAAAAGGACCCTAGAAAGTATTTTTAAAATATACACGTTTAGATATTGAAGGGTCCTTAAAAAACATACTTTTAAAAATTTGACGTTAATGGAGGAATATTAACTTAAAAATCAACGTTTGAATGGTGAAAGGCCCTATACTAACTGTGCATAAAATTTACGTTTAACAGTCGGAAGATCCTTGAAAAAATAATCTTAAAAAATCCTCATCTAGGGAATAGAAGGTCCTGGAAAAAAATATTCATGAAACAAAAGGTACTTGGAAAACAATCCATTAAAATCCAGGATTAGAGATCGTAATTTTTATAAGCTCCTTGCACTGAAATTGGAAGGTCCTTGTAAAAATATTTAAAAAAAATCCACAATCCTCTTTCAGCGATTAAAAGGTCCTTGAGGGTTCTTTAAAATAACACATTTAGAGTTTTCAGGGTGCTTGAAAAAAACATCCTTAAAAATCCAACCATTTCTGCTGATGTTGCTGTTGTCTTCCGTCCACTTCCTTGGCGTCGGGCTACGCTACCAGTATCACGGAAATGAGCTATGGTACGAGACGTAAAAGATTTATTCACATTTTAATGTCTGAGTGCTTTAACGATGGCCACTTGTGGTTTTCCAGCCAAAAATAAAGAAATCACACTATCAAATAATCCTCCGATTGTCTTCAAATCAAATTTTGTTTTTATTAACATAAGATCTGGTATGTAGATCGGATATATTGGTTCGTTTCTATTGCTACCTTCCCCACAAAGGGTCAGAATTTATGTCTCTCATTAAATGTGAAATACTTCTTCGATTCTTTTCAAACTTGGTTTATCTAAATATTTCTCACAATCAGAAATCTGTTGTGAATATGGCACTTATCGGCCCACTCCTTCTGCTCCCTCCCTCACAATTATTCCCATAGAATTCTTTATGAATGTTCGATTTTCTTTAAATTTTGCACATCCCAATATTTTTATCCGTATTAGATGAAGTGGGATACTTAGGTCCACTGTACGTAGTACTCGGCGCACATTTGAACATTTTTCAAAAATTATCACATACTTCATATTAAGTACGGAAGGTAGTCGATATAGGCCAAATCTGGACTCTTTAGGAGTCATCTATCGTTAGATCCCTTTTTCAAACAATTTTCAATTTAATTTATTTTTTTTCTTTTTACAGAATTTTGCCAGGAGCGACGAATGCTGTTGGAACTCGTCGGCCCCGAGCTACAGTCCATGTACGATGATCGACAAATCGAAATTGAGTTTGTCGATATGCATTTTGGTACCGGATCCTTGGATATCACACAAGTCGAAAAGGATCCATATATTTTAGAGGATTACCTGCACGAAATCGAAGTGTGTCATCAGAATTCGAAAAGTGTCTTCTTTTTGGTAAGTTGGGGATTCGGAACTCATTCTTATTACACCCTCAGACATATGGCTACAGAGGGTATATATCATTTGAAACGGTCAAAACGTGCCTAGTCGAAATAACGGTTTTAGACCCTAGGTCTATTTGGGCCAAATCCGTTTCAGAACATTTGGAGTCGATCTAGCGATGTCCGTCCGTACGTTCGTCCGTCCGTCTGCCCGGCTGGCTGGCTGGCTGGTGCGCACGATAACTCTCGAAGGGAATATCCGATTTCATCCAAACTTGGTCCATCGTAATATTTATGTCAAACTTAGATCGAGTTCGGAGATGGGCAAAATCGGTCCACTCCTTTTGGTACCTCCCCACAAAAGTTCGAAATTTTCAAAAAATATAATTATTGCACAGAAAGAGAAACTATAGTCCGATTTTTCTCCAACTTTGCAAATCCTAATATTTGCGTCAGTGTGAGGTCAGGTGTGAAAATGGAAAATATCGGTCCACTCTATCAAGTACCTCCCACACAAATTGTAAAAATTTTGAATAATTACAACTCTCATAAATGTGATGTAAGTGTCTGATTGTCTTAAAATTTTACAAATCCCAATATTTATATTGACCCAAGGTCTAGTGTTAAGATGGACTCATCCACTCTTTCTGGTACCCCCCTTACAAAAGGTCGAAATTTTCAAAAAATATATTTTTTTGTACAGATAGAGAAACGATAATCCGATTTTGCTCCAATTTTACAAATACTAATATTTACATCATTGCTAGGTCTGGTGCGAAAATGGACAATATCGGTCCACTCCTTCTGGTACCTCCCCTCAAAAGGTCGAAATTTTGAATAATCACAACTCTCATAAAATCTGATGTAAGAGTCCGATTGTCTTCAAATTTCACACATCCCAATTTTTATATTAACCCAAGGTCTGGTGTTAAGATAGAATATATCGGTCCACACCTTCTGGTACATCCCCCATAAATGGTCAAAATTTTAAAAAATTGTATTTTTTTTTTTTTTTGCACAAATAGAGAAACGATTATCCGATTTTGCTCTAATTTTGCAAATCCTAATATTTGCATCATTGCTAGATCTGGTGCGAAAATGGACAATATCGGTCAACTCCTTCTGGTACCTCCCCTCAAAAGGTCGAAATTTTGAATATCCACAAAGGGGCAAAGTTTTGAATAACCAAAACGTTTATAAACTCCGAAATAAACATCAGGTTCTCTTTATATTTCACACATCCCATTATTTCCACTAGCAAGAGATCCATTGTGAAGATGGAATATATCGGTCCACTCCTTCTGGTACCTCCCCCACAAAGGCTCAAAATTTTGATAATATCCATGGAGCACATAAAAAGTGAAATTGACATCCGAATCTATTCAAGACTTGGAACATCCCAAAATTTCCATTAACACAACACAGTCCAAACCTAGCACGTTGCAATATTTATATCACATTTATTTAGGTCTGATACGAAATGGCCAATATTGGCCATAACGGGGTTTAACATTTGAATAATCATAGCAGAAGTCAAAATATTTTTAAATTATCGAGCATTGGCTGAGGGTATACATCTGTCGGCAAAACCGACCGATACTTTTTTATTTGTTTGTATTTTCACATAGCTACAGTGGTTAAGATGAAGGAATTACAGGAGGATCAAATGTAATATGGGAGGGAAAAGGACAATATGAGAATCAAGAATGCCATGGAGGTTGAGTTGTTTTTATTATACCCTTCACCTTGGAAAGAAGAGTATATTAAATTTGTCATTACACCTCTAACATTCGTCATAGACCCTTGATCAGCACAAAATTCTAAGTCGATTTAACGAGGTCTGTCTGGCAGACATATATTGTTCTTCCGATTTGTTATTTTTGTCTTCCGCAGCCGTAATATGCACTCTGTAACAACAAAATTTGGGGAAATATATCAAATGCAGCTCAGAAATACCTTTGCTAAATTTTATCGAGATCGGTTCAGATTTGGATATAGCTCCCATATATAACTTCGTCCGATTTACCTTTTATTGTGCACCAAATGTTTAATATTTGTCCAAATGGAATGGAATTTGACACTTGCTACCGAATGGAGTCTAGGAGCTAGTATGTCAAATTTGTGTGAAGATCGGTTCAGATATAGCTATAGCTCCCGTATATATTGTTCCTCCGATTTGTTATATTTGTCCTCCGCAGCCGTAATATGGACTCCGTAACAGCGATATTCAGGGATATATATTAAATACAGCTCAGAACCATCTTTGCTAAATGTTATCGAGATCGGTTCCGATTTGGATATAGCTCCCATATATAACTTTAACCGATTTCAAATTAATTGTCCACCAAATGGGCAATACAATTCCGAATTTAAAAGATACAAATGCTTCGGCATATTTCGTTCTTTGAGCTTTAAATTAGAATTATAACCATAGCGTATATGATTGAATTCTCCCATCAAATCATTTAATTGTTATACGGAGCTCTACTAAATTAGCAAAGTGGTGTAGGGTATCATAAAATCGGCCCCGCTCGACTATAAGATTTTCTTTACTGGTTTAAAATGTTTTTGACTTAGCTCGATTTTGTTAAAAATTTTAAAAATTTCTAAAAATCCTCTGAATATTCCCTTGAAAGCTAGGCCACCAGAACAACTTTGTAGGGTTTCTTATTCATCTTCTGCTAACAATACAATTACATGCATACTTATTACATTAATATTCGTTGCTTTCTTTTTTTTTTCATAACCCTCTCCCCACCCTCAACAACTTTCATCTATCTGCACACCCAACATAATTGATGTGATGCCTGCCTGCCTGCCTGACTGACTGATACGGCTCCGTTCGTAACTGCGACCTCCACCACACCATTGTTACCCCGGCCATTTCCTAACTCTCGTCGACTATTGTTTTTCAACGAAATTATCATTAATTAGGCCTTAATAGGCGACAGCATTGGTCGGATGCCATTACCCATCCACTTGGAGAAGGAGATCTACGATAGCATTGCGACAGATGGCACTTTAACACACACAGAGCGTCAATTATTTGTCAAGTGGTATTCGATGGTGGCATCAGAGGATGGCACCGCCACATCATCCACATCCGATAACCAAGGCTCGACATCGACTTCATCGGCTGCCTTCAAAGGCATTCAATATCAACTTAAACAGGACTATCGGTAAGTAGAACTGGATCAACATCAAATGGATGTATGTAAGTATGTATATATATATATATATATATATATATATATATACGAGTGTGTTAGTATCTGGTACATTGTCATTTTTCAATATTGGCGATTGTCACGATGTTGCTGTGGCGGCCGATAAGTATTGAATGCCAAAAAAATGGGTGAAATGAAAGAGTGGTCTAGAGCGCCACTTTGTCTGAGCGCGAAATGTTTGTGGGAGTTATTTCAAGAGATTTGCGTGGCACACATACATATATATGTGTGTGTGTAGGACTGTTCTGAACATTTTCGAAAATGATAAATTAGCGAAATGGCTTTTGTACCGAGCAAAATTGAAAGGACTAAAATGGATTTTTGTTTTTAAATATTCATAAAATTTTTAAAGATTATCGGGATCAGTGGATAAAAGAAATAATGAAATATGTTAGGAAGTAATCATCGGCTTGACAATGGATATTTACATACGAATATGTCAACGAAAGATATGCGACCAAAGGCAATTGTTGTGTTATCTACAGCGTGAGATGAAACAAGTTAAAAAGCAGTAAGTTCGACCGGGCCGAACTTTTAATACCCTCCACCATTTGCAACGAATTTGGAAATTTTCAAAAAGTAAAATCTTTAAAAAATTCTGTTAAAATTTTAAAAATACCGAATATAGCCGTTATATTGAGGTGTATACGACGTGGGCCCATATTCATTTCGAGGAGTTACAAATGGAATGACAAAGTTAACATACCCTCCATAGTATGGTGGAGGGTATAAAAACCGCAACCAAATTTAGACTGCTGTCATTTCTAAGCCACTCGTCCGACAGCTGTTGAAATTATTCCAGTGACGGCTCATTATATTGTTTACAGGCGTTCCAGAGCATTTTGGTAAGAACTTTCCAAAAAAAAAATGGTATTCGTGATGGAATTCAAGCGTGATAGTATGATTTCTTTATATCTGGCTGGAAAACCACAAGTGGCTATCGCTAGAGCACTCCAGCATTTAAATGTGTATAAATCTTTTGGGTCTCGTACCATCGCTCGTTACCGTGATACAGAAACATCAGCAGAAATGGTTCGAAAAGGAAAGAAGCGACTTGATCGAAACCCCCGCCATCGCCGAGAAATGGCTCGTGAACTGAACATAACGCAATATCCCATTCGGAAAATATTAACAAATGAGCCCGGGGTAAAGCCATTGAAATTCAAAAAAGTGCAAGAACTTATACCGCAACAGAAAGAAAATAGACTCCAAGGAGCTTAAGAGTTGCTTCGCCTGGCCAAAAGTGGTGAACTGCCGAATTTGGTTTTCCCCGTCTCCGATGAGAAAACATTCGTTGACCAGCAGTTTGTAAACAAAAAAAAAATGATTGTGTTTACGCGCACCTTCGGTTGGCCACCAGAACTCAAGCGCCAGCCATGGTGAGAGTGTGGTGTGATGTTGGCCGCCATAACAGCCGATGATCGAAACTCGAGTCGCAGTGGCCGAGAAATGCCTCGTGAACTGAACATAACGCAATATCCCATTCGGAAAATATTAACAAATGAGCCCGGGGTAAAGCCATTGAAATCCCAAAAAGTGTAGGAACTAACAGCGCAACAGAAAGAAAATAGACTGAAAAGAACTAAAGAGTTGCTTCGCCTGGCCGAAAGTGGTGAACTGCCGAATTTGGGTTTCTCCGTTGAGAAAACATTTGTTGTCCAGCAGTTTGTAAACAAACTAAATGATCCGCTTGTGTTTATTTGCCAAGGAGGTCAGCTGAAAATGTGCACCTTCGGTTGGCCACCGGAACTCAAGCGTCGGCCATTATGATGGTGTGGTGTGGCCGCCAACACTGCCAATGGTCGCTCTCCGCTCGTATCGTAATCGACCGTAGCATCAGAATAAATGACGAAATATTCTGCAGGGTGTATTAAAGACCTTGGACACCCAAACATATTGGCCGCAGACCTTGGACATTCCAACAGGACTCAGCACAATTCGGCATTAAAAATGAGGTTCGTCGCTTCATTTACAGCGCACCAAATCTATGACCACCAAAATCTCCGGATACCAATCCATTGAACTATTGTTTCTGGAGTATTTTGCAGAAAGCAGGGTTGGCACTAAAAAATATCAAAATGTCGATCTCCTCAAGTAAGCGCCTGGCCGGGAATGGGCCAAAAGACCGCAGGGCAGCATTCGGACAGCGTGTAGTGGTTTTATTGGCCGTTTAAAGGCCATACTTAGTGTCAAAGGTGACCAATTCGAACAAATCTAAACTGATTCGAAAATTTGATAATAAAAATACATAGGGAGGTACCGTTACATGGGAGCTATACGAAGACCTGGACCTGCATAGAAAATTTTCTGTCACAGGCTGTAGCTTCCATTACGAACTTCAAATACGACATCTCAAACAATTTCGGAGAGTATTGCACCCAAAATCGTCAAAATACCGAATAGAAGGAGGTACTGATATATGGGTCCTATACGAAGACCTAGACTTGCATAGGCAGTTTTCTGTTGCGGACTGTAGTTCCCATTACAAACTCTAAATACGTAATTTGAAACTACTACGGTGAATAATGACGCTAAAATCATGAAAATACCGAATATTGGGAGGTATCGTTATAGGGGGACTATACGAAGACCTACTGGACCTGCATAGACAGTTTTCTGCCTTAGGCTGTAGTATCCATTTCAAACTTCAAATGCCAAATATGAAACAATTCCCGTGAATATTGTCGCTAAAATCATCAAAATACCGAATATCGGGAGGTACCGTTATATGGGGGCTATATGAAAATGTTTACGAACTTAACCTGCCTACTGGCAAAATAGACATGTGTGCAAAATTTAAGCCTCCATTCTCAATTCGTTCGAAAGGTAGAGTGATTACAACAGACAGACGGACATACAGACAGACAGACAGACAGACGAACAGACAGACAGACAGACAGACACACAGACAAACAGACGGACATTGCTAAATCGTCTTAGAATTTTACGCTGATCAAGAATATATATAATTTGTTGGGTCTGACATGAGTACTTCGAGGAGTTATGACAAAATGAATGTACCCTCAATAGTATGGTGGAGGGTATAAAGGTTGTAAAAATTATGGCGTTTGACTTTGTTGACTTTTTATACCCTACAACACCATGTGTTGGGGGTATTAGAAGTTTGATTGGGCCAGAATTTATGTAACACCTCGAAATATTGGTTTCCCATATAGGAAAGTATATATGGATCTTCCTAGCTCGCCGAGCTGAGTCGATCTAGCTATGTATGTCCGTCCGTCTGTCCGTCTGTCTATGTTAATTTGTAATCACTCTACAGTTCGCAATTATGGCCCGATCTTCACGAAATTTAGAATGTAGGTGGGGCTTGGACCAGAATAGAACCCTATTGTTTTTGGAGATGATCGCCAAATGTTTAGGGGTTGAAATGGACCAAATACTGAAAAAATGTCGGATTTTGCAGTAGCTATACAGGTCGCAATTATAGACCAATCGACGCGGAATTTTGCATGTAGCTAGAGTATAGGGCGGGGAAGAAGCCTACCAATTTTGATGGTCATCGGATAATATTTAGTGGGTAAAATTGAACATATCTTTTTTGTTGAAAAAATTCAAAATTTTTCATTAAACCGCGAATATTTTAAATCCTGGCGAAATCACAAAGTCATGACAAGGTTACTTCTGATCTTTACATTGATGTTAACATTCAACAAAACGGATATATAGAAAATATGTGCGATACATATGTTTATCAAAGAAGATATGCTTGAAAGATCTCTTATATGTCGAGAACGGCTGAACTGATTTCGACAGTTCTCATTAATTCTCTTGGCAGGAAAGAAAAAACTTCTAAAAAATCGCACAAAAATATCTCTCTAAAGAAGAAAATATAGATTTTGTAAAATATTCTCATATTTTTTCAATTCTGTCATATATTTGGCATATTTTCATTTTGAATTAAACATTTGTTAATATTTCTACAGCTAACAAAACTAAGTAGTTAGGATATCAGGATATCATATACAGATCGCATTTATGGCCCGATCCTAACGAAATTTTGCATGGGGATCAGATGAGGGTCACAATAGAAGCCTACTCTGTTTGGAGATGATCGCCATATATTTAGGTCAGCAGGTCGTAATTATCGTCCGATACTCACGCACATTTGAATGGGGGTTACCGGACATTCCAAAAGCCAAGCAGTTTTGGATGGCCATCCAAAAATATTCAATGTGCGAAATAGTTTGCCAAATTTTGTAGACAAAATACGAAAATGTCCATTCCAGTGACTTTTTGGAGAATTCACAAATACAGGAAAGACGCACTTCTGACTATTTCGTTAACGCTGATTTCGTGGAAGAATATAGTCTGTATCTCTTATAGATGCGTTTCAGTCAAAAACCAATAATAAATGTTAATCTTTTGCCACTTCTAAGATATTATAGGTCTTTGGGAAATATTGGTTCCAGATCTAGGAAGACCATTTACCAATAATTTGGAAATGAGCAAATTAGTTTAAGTTGATATTATTCGAAAATTAGAGAAACCTGATGGTTTTCTTTTATTATTTGTCACAATATCTTGTGGAATTCTTTCGAGTATCTCGCCTATATAAACTGTATCATTTATTATAGTGTTGTAGGGTATTCAACGGTCGGCCCCGCTCGACTGTAGCCTTTGCTTACTTGTTTATCTTATTTTTTTAGATTATTTTTAGAGGACAAATATTGTCAATTTTTTAACTAATTTAAGGACCAATCCAAAAAATTTGGAATTTTATTTTTTGTTTTAAAAAAATATTTGAAAATATATTTTTTCTACTGTCGAACTTTTTGTACCTAGTTGGAAGACTATCTAGATCTATCTATTCTATTAGATCTATCTCTATAAATTTTGAAATTTGATATTGTTGTTTTCTAATTTTTATTTCGGTATTTAAATTTTGAACAACACATTCAACCCAGTACCTCGTCGGCCAGATTCCCATGGTA